TAACATCTTGAGAGTCTTCTGTAAAGGAAAAAGGTTCTGCATCTGCTGAAAAAGCTGTTAGATAGGCTTGATATGCATTGGCAGATGATCATAGGATACATACTCAGAGATGGGGTAAGGATTTTGTCCTGATGGTTTCTAGGTAGTGACACAGTCTTTCAGCCAAATAGCAGGCTTTACACCTCTAGCTGACTTTCTCATTCCAATTGAAGAACCTGCTTGATTTTTATATGTATCTGCAACTGGTTTTGGTAGTGCCTCATTCACCTGGCGGTCCACCTCCTGTTCCACTACTTCATCAACCAAAATTTCCATTTCAGAAATGACTTCTTATTCTTGGTTAGATCCCAGTTGTTCAGTGTGGTAATCACCATCAGAGTTAGCTGGTGGAACCATGTTGTTTTTATCAGGAACTTCAATAGAAACATCTTCTCTTACAATGTATCCATTTTGGATGCTTGAATTAGTTGTGTCCACTATGCCGGGAAGAAATAAGTCCTCTTTCTCTATGCTCTCTTCCTTAAAAGGAAAGATGTCCTCTCTAAAACTCACATCTCTACTGACAAGAAATGTGTTAGAGTCCAAATCGAATAGTTTGTATCCCTTTTGTATATCTGAATAGTCTATGAAGAATGTTCTTCTTGCTCTTGGTACATACTTATCCCCCTAGGTAATGTGCTTTCATAGCTAGCCTACTTTCGGACTATGAAAGCTTTGTCACTACGGCGAAGCTTCAACGACCGAAACCAACTATGGCTGAGCTTCGATCTAGCTTGTTGTTACATGAGTCATGAATTTAGTATAGACACCCAAATACTCTTAAGTGATCAATTTTGGATTGTTTACCATGCAATATTTCAGAAGGAGATTTGCCTTCTAATACCTCTGTAGGTAATTTGTTGATCAAATACACAACGGTCTTTACACAATCTCCCCAAAACATCACTGGCATGCTACTTTGAAATCTCAATGCCCTAGTTACCTCTAGGATATCCCTATACTTTCTTTCTACAATTTCATTCTGTTATGGAGTGTAGGGACAACTGCTTTGATGTATTACACCAAGAGAGGTAAACAATTCGTTCCACTTAGTGTCAAGAAACTCTGTGCCATTATTTGATCTTAATGTCTTAATCGCAGTGCCAAACTGATTCTTAGTCAAAGGAAAGAAATCTTTTAAGACCATAATTACTCACTCTTGGAATGTAATAGACAAATCCAAGTATATCTACTGATGTCATCAACTATGATAACAAAATAGTGTTTTGTATCATAGGTTGGTACTTTATTATATGGATTCCATTCATCAATATGCACAAGCTGAAAGATACAACTGGACTTATTGCTACTAACATGAAATTTAAGTCTACTTTGTTTGGCCAAAGGACAAACTGCACAATCTTTCAGCATGTCTATATCTACCTTATTCTATAATTCCACCAAGTGTTTCTTAACATTTGTAGAAGCATGTCTCAGTCTTTGATGCCACAATGTAGTATCTACTGTCTCATTTTTTAAAGTCCCTGCTGCTACCCCTTCTTCTATTCTAAGTATGTATAGGCCAATATCTTCCTTACCAATCCCAAACACCTTGCCATTATTGAGCCCTGAAACACAAGAAATTCAGAATAGAAGGTGATTGAACAACACAAGTCTCTAGTTATCTTGGACACTGAAAGCACGTTAAATTTAAAATCTGGCACACACATGATATTTGTTATCTTCTATTTTTCTGGAATTAGTGCATCTCCTGAGTGTATGATCTTTTATTTATCTCTTGTAGGTGGTTCTACTCCATAAGTGTTTTGTCCTTCTATTGCCTTAAGACTTTCTAAAACATCTTCGCAAAAAATTATATGATGTGATATCCCTGAGTCTATTATCCAATCGTATACACTGTCGTTGGGCACATTAGATAATAAGGACAGAATATCTGCCATGTTTGAAGAATCTGTCGTCATAGTAGATCCTTCTCCTACAGAATATTTGGTCAACAAACTCACTAAGTGCTTGTAATATTCCTCTATCAAATAATTCCCTTGAACTTGACCTTTGACATTTGTTCCTGCCTCTGCATTTGCATTTGCATTTGCATTGTTGGAATAAGGCTAATATGCACATGGTTGCCCTTTTTTCTTGCTCGTAAAATCTGCTGGATAGGCTATTATTTTGTAGAAATTCTCTTTTAGGTTGCCCTTATAGCCATAGTGCTCACAGATTAATCCTATTTTTTTCTTTAAACATCTATCCCCAGCCTGCTAACATAGTTAGAGGATCTTTGTTTGTCTCAACAAATCCTAACGTTCTTTGGCTATATCTCTCATTGAGCATCATAAGGAACTGCAGTAGCCTTTGTCTTACCAGATGATCAACATACGGTCTCTATTCCTCATAGGAAACAGTGCTAAAAGGTCCAATTCATCCCATAAATCTTTCATCTTTAAAAAATACGTAGTGATTGTCCGTACCCCTGTCTAAGCATTGCAATATTAGTCCAGAGTTGATAGATTCTGGCCAAATTGTCCTTATCAAATCTCTCTTTGAACTCGTCCCACACTTTCTTCGCTCTCGAAGCATACATGATACTTGGTACCAATTCACTTGACACCGTGTTGCTGAGCCATGATAGCACCACTACATTACACCTTTTCCATTGTGTTGCCAACTCGCCTCTGTATGAACTCTTGCGATAAGTACCATCTATAAACCCTAATTTGTTCTTCACCAAGAGTGTTACCTTCATGGCTCTACTTAATAGGGCATAATTTTCAGGCCATGTAAGTTTCAGCGATATCAACGTTGTTCTAGGCAAGTCAGAATCTCGAAGGAATAGGGGATGATTATGAGGCAACTGCTCGATCTCATTATTGTTGAACTTCAACCGACCTTCAATTGGAAAAATTAGAGCTGTTGATCTGGGTAATTACAGAGATTGGCGCTCTGATATCAAGTCGTAAAATTAGAGCTGTTGATCTGGGTAATTACAGAGATCGTCGCTCTGATTTCAAGTCAATTTAGGCAATCTAAGTGTAGAATTTTACAATCATCACTTAAGATTCATGAACGAACTACAATGAGTAATTTCTAGAGAGAGAAAGCTAGAGAGAAGGAAGAGCACAAAAAGGAAATTTTATTAATGTAGGATCAGTTAGAATGAACTGTACACTTTTCAAGACTAACAGCTCTCCTTTTAACTAACTCTCGCGCCTTCTCTAATTTATTTTACAAACTAAAGCCTTCAAGCTTGACTAACTACACTTAGGTCCCTATTTTATTGCTACTAGGTCCCTATATTATCAGTCTTACAATCATTGTGTCGATTGTACACAACGATTGCAAGACTGATAATATAGTAAATTTACTGATCTTATATTGTTTCGTGCAGGGGATTTGGTTAGGGATGATTGGTGGGACAACAATGCAAGCCTTTATTTTACTGTTCGTCATTTTCCGAACACATTGGAATGAAGAGGTAAATACAATGAGTACACACACAACCCCACAACCCCTTTCTTCACTCTCTCTCTCTCTCTGACAAACATACAAATATACATGTGGCTATTTAATTGAGAGTTTTAATTTACAGGTGGAGAAAGCAAAGAAACGTTTGGATAAATGGGAAGACAAGAAAGAATAATCTTGGTCGTACGTATAAACTAGTATTCTGTGTGATTCACTATATTGATGAGCCTATTTATAATATTAAAACCATGAAATCAGATGCACGCGGAGCCAAGATTTCAGTTTTATCCACTAATTATTTGTAATATATCGTAATCAAACATCATTTGAGGATATACTAATTTAACCCCTACTGCCACTTCAAACTTAATGGATTTGATAAAAAAAAAGAGATGTATTTTCTTTTTTAAACAAAATACAGGACATGTATCTGATGTTGCGTTATATTACAAGGAATATTTAATGTAATTTACCTTAAATTTAATACACAGATCGCCATAAGACTCACAACTCAAATATCAATTGGGCTGGTGTTGACATATTTGGAGCTTTTTGGGCTAGAGTTTACCAGAGAAGTCCTTCATGGAAGGACTGATTTACACAAATGTCCCTTTTTTAGGTCATAAAAGATGTTGTCTCTTTTTTAAAAAACATATAGCCCTTGACTAATTATTCTTTCGTGTTATAAAATCTTTAGTAAATGTGGATGTCCACTACTCCCACTACTTTCACCCATGTTGTAAATAACCTCCCACTACTCATCACTATTATGATTGTAACTCCCACACCTCCATAACCCCTCTCCATGATCTTCCCCCGTGATCTCATATGTTAATGTCATGCTTAAGACAATCATTTTGTAACATTCTATGTAATAGTATAAATAGAGGCATGAAATGTGATATGGGATACACTTGAACACCTGATGAAATAAGAAAGTTATCTCTTCTTCTCTTATTCTATTTATCTTCTTGTTTTATATTGTTACTTTGAGCTACATTTCTTAATACGTTATCAGCACGAAGTCTCTAACGTCAAGATTGAATTCCACTTGCAAAGGTATATATCTACAACCTAGTGTTCAAATTATCAAATTGTTGCTACGCATTTCTTTTATGTGAAATCTACTTCTTTTGGATTTACTCAATTAGAATTATGTGTTGTCTCGTAAAAGAGAAATAAGACAACTATACTGAGTGCATTATGATTAATGTCAATAGTTAACATGTTTGTCAGAATAGTTAAGATTAGTTGAAATAGTTTTTCCTACTATTTTAATACTCTATCAAATGACTTCCCGATTTCTTTCCTTACGACTAATGGCTTTCGGGGAAAAAATATTTTTGTTTATTTTGAAGAATTACATGTTTATATTTATTATTGCAGCATAACTAATTCATGTATTTTTATGGTGATTAACTGGTCAATTGATGTTATTATTTTTATTGGATATGACAGATTGACCCTTTGATGAAAATATTTTCGTTTATTTCTTTTTACTATTTCTAATTCATTTATTTTCTTTGATAGTTTTTACTATGTCGAATTTGTCAAAACTTGAGTTTGTGGCACTTGACATTTATGGAAAGAATTGCCTATCATGGGTTCTCGATGCTGAGATTCACTTAGCCGCTAAAGGCCTTGGCAACACCATTACTCAGGGTAATGAGGCATCAATCCAAGACAAAGCGAAGACCATGATTTTCCTTCGTCATCATTTGGATGAAGGTTTGAAAGTTGAATATCTGACAGTGAAAGATCCACTTGAATTGTGGATTGGCCTGAAGGAAATGTATGATCACCTTAAGGCTACGGTATTGCCATAGGCTTGATATGAGTGGATGCACTTACGGTTGCAACATTTTAAGACCGTAAGTGAGTATAACTCTGCTGTATTTCGAATAACTTCCCAATTGAAATTATGTGGGGATGTTATAAATGATGAGGATTTGTTGGAAAAGACTCTTACGACTTTTCATGCCTCAAATATGGCATTATAGCAGCAATACCGTGAAAGGGGTTTTAAAAAGTATTCTGAATTGATCTCATGCCTTCTGGTGGCTGAGCAACATAATAACCTTTTGCTGAAAAATCATGAAGCCCGTCCCACAGGGTCAGCTCCGCTTCCTGAAGTGAATATGGCTGCTAGACGTGATAAGTCTGAAAAAAGACAGAATAATAATCATGGCCATATGAATGTACGTGGGCATGGAAATGGTAAGAGACGATATAATAGTCTTCATCGTGGTGGTCATAAAAAACGAGAGAACAATATGGGTTCTCAAAATAATCCTTCAAGAGGCAAAAACGGTAACTGCCACCGTTCTGGCATGAAAGGTCATTGGAAAATTGAATGCCGTGCACCTGAGCATTTTGTCAGGCTTTATCAAAACTCCATCAAAAGAAAGGCAAATAATGTTGGAGCATCTTCTGCTAATTCCCCAGAGTCTTACTTGACCTTTAAAAATAATTTTGAGGCTGGGCCTTCAAATAAAAATGATGACAATGCTGAGGCAAATCTTGCTTTGAATGATTATGATATTCAAGGCCTCGATGATCTTACTCATTTGGAAGTTGAAGATTTCTTTGGAGATCAAAACTAAAGTTTGATCATTTTACCGGGGAATTCAATTATGTTGTTATTTTTATTTTCAGTGTTTTTGTCTTGTCTAAAGTTGTTTTTATTTTCAAGTAGTACTTAAGTTGTCATATGTTGTCGTTGGTGATGTTAGTTTTTCCGTATTTCTCATGATGTACTTTTTTTATGAAGAAATTAAAATTCTCCAGTCTTCAATTGGATCCAAGATAAGTAATGAAAATTTATGTCTTTTGGATAATGCTACAACTCACACAATATTAAGAGAAAAGAAATTTTTCTCTTATTTGGTTATGAAAATGTCCTATGTTAATACAATATTCGGTAGTACAAAGTTGATTGAGGGGTCTGGAAGAGCGGCCTTATTACTACCCGGAGGAACGATATTAACTATTGATAATGCATTGTATTGTAGTAAGTCTCAAAGAAACTTGTTGAGTTTCAAATCTATTCGCCAAAATGGCTACCATGTTGAGACATCAAACGAAGGAAAGGTTGAATACATTTATATTACTACAATAAAAGCGGGTAAAAAATATGTGCACGAAAAATTACCCGCATTTTCTTCTGGGTTGTACCACACAAACATTGGTGTGGTTGAATCACATGCCATAGTAAACAAAAGGTTTACTACTTCTAATGATTTTATCATTTGGCATGACCGGTTGGGCCATCCAGAATCTAACATGATGCGTAGAATAATAAATAATTCAAATGGCCACACATTGAAGAACAAGAAGAATCTTCAATTTAAGGAATTCTCTTGTGCTGCTTGTTCTCAAGGAAAATTGGTTATTAAACCATCAGCAGCTAAAGTTAAGATTGAATCCCCTGCATTTATGGAACGTATACAGGGTGATATATGTGGGCATATACACCCTCCATGTGGACCATTCAAGTATTTTATGGTCTTGATAGACGCATCTACAAAATGGTCACATCTGTGCTTATTGTTCGTAATACGACATTTGCGAGATTGTTGGCCCAAATAATAAGGTTAAGAGCACAATTTCCAGATTATGCAATTAAGACAATTCGTCTTGATAATGCTGGTGAATTTACATCTCAGGCCTTTAAAGATTATTATATGGCCACTGGAATAAAAGTTGAGCATCCGGTTGCTCATGTTCATACTCAAAACGATCTAGCAGAATCATTGATTAAACGCCTCCAACTAATAGCTAGACCATTGCTAATGAGGACAAAGCTTCCCCTTTCAGTGTGGGGACATGCTATTTTGCATGCAGCAGCACTTGTGTGCATAAGACCAACCAGTTATCATAAAGTCTCCCCATTACAGTTGGCTTTTGGTTAGGAGCCAAGTATTTCCCATCTAAGAATTTTTGGATGTGCGGTATATGTTCCAATTGCTCCACCACAACGCACAAAGATGGGCCCCCAAAGAAGGTTGAGAGTATATGTTGGTTATGAATCTCCTTCTATTATTAAATATCTGGAGCCTATGACAGGAGATTTATTTACAGCCAGATTTGCTGATTGTCATTTTGATGAATCAGTTTTTCCAACATTAGGGGGAGAAAATAAACAGCTGGAAAAAGAGATAGATTGGAATGTATTATCTCTATCTCATTTGGATCCTCGTACAAATCAATGTGAACAAGAAGTTCAAAAGATCATTTATATGCAAAATATTGCAAATCAATTGCCGGATGCATTTACTAACCTTCCACGGGTTACTAAATTGCATATTCCATCTGTAAATGCTCCAATTCGAGTTGATGTCCCAGCTGGACAGTATGATAATGCAAATGAGTCTAGGCCACGCCTTAAACGTGGTATACCAATTGGTTCCAAGGATAAGAATCTCCGAAAAAGGAAAGGAGCAAATGATCAAGTTGATCATAACATGGATGCAATTGCTCAAGAGGAGCATAAAGACATAGCAATTGATAAGACCTCACAGAGGTTCTAGTACCTGGAAATGATGAAAATGAAGAGATCTCAATAAGTTATGTCTCTACGGAAAAAAGGTGGAACCGAAATAACGTTGTTGTTAACAACAATTTTGCATATAATGTTGCAGTTGAAATAATGCAACAAGATGAGGATCTTGAACCAAAATCTGTCGATGAATGCAGACAGAGAAATGATTGGCCAAAATGGAAAAATGCAATTCAAGCGGAATTGGCTTCACTTGAAAAATGTGAAGTTTTCGGACCAATAGTCCGAACGCCTGAAGGTGTCAAGCCAGTGGGGTACGAATGGGCTTTTGTGTGAAAACGAAATGAGAAAGGTGAAGTCGTAAGATATAAAGCACGACTTGTGGAACAAGAGTTTTCGCAAAGGCCTGACATTGATTATATGGAGACATATTCTCCTGTGGTAGATGCAATTACCTTCAGGTATTTAATAAATCTGGCAGTCCATGAAAAGCTTGATATGCGGTTGATGGATGTTGACACATCCTACTTATATGGCTCACTGGACAATGGAAGTTTTATGAAAATCCCTGAAGGATTTAAAGTTCCTGAAGCACATAAAAGTTCAAAAGAAACATGTTCAATAAAGCTTCAGAAATCCTTATACGGATTGAAGCAATCAGGGAGGATGTGGTACAATCGTCTTAGCGAGTATTTGCTAGAGGAAGGTTACAAAAATGACCCTATTTGCCCTTGTGTCTTTATTAAGAGGCCTGGATCTGAATTTGTCATCATAGCTGTGTATCTGGATGACTTGAATATCATTGGCACTTCTAAAGAGCTTCCAAAGGCTGTAGAGTGTTTGAAGAAAGATTTTGAAATGAAAGATCTTGGTAAGAAAATTTTTTGTCTTGGCCTACAAATTGAGCATGTACGAAATGGAGTTTTTGTCCATCAATCGACATACACTGAAAAGGTTTTAAAGCGATTTTACATGGATAATGCACATCCATTGAGTACCACAATGGTTGTGAGATCGCTTGATATAAATAAATATCCATTTCGGCCTCAAGAAAATGATGAAGAGCTCGTTGATAATGAAACTCCATATCTTAGTGCAATTGGGGCACTGATGTATCTTGCCAACAATACCCGACCAGATATTGCTTTTGCAGTAAGCTTATTATCAAGATTCAGCTCCTCCCCAACAAGAAGACATTGAAATGGTGTTAAGCATATATTTAGATATCTTCGGGGAACTATAGATATGGGATTGTTTTATTCTAACGAAGTCAAGTCAGAAATGATTGGTTATGCCAATGCAGGTTATTTGTCGGATCCTCAAAAAGCCCGATCTCAAACAGGATATTTATTTACATATGGAGGTACATCTATATCATGGCGTTCAATGAAACAAACAATAGCTGCCACATCTTCAAATCATGCTGAGATAATAGCCATTCATGAAGCTAGTCGGGAATATGTTTGGTTGAGATCAATGACTCAACATATTCAGGAAATGTGTGGTTTACTTATGTAAAAGGATAATCCAACTACACTATATGAAGACAATGCTGCTTGTATTGCTCAACTAAAAGGAGGATACATCAAAGGAGACAGAACAAAGCAGATTTCACCAAAGTTCTTTTTCACGCATGATCTTCAACAAAATGGTAAAATTAATGTTCAACAAATTCGTTCATGTCAAAATTTGGCTGATCTGTTCACTAAGGCACTACCAATCTCAACATTTGAGAAGTTGAGACAGAAGATCGGAATGCGGCACCTTCGAGAAATAAAGTGATGTTTTCATGAGGGGGAGTAAGATACGCGCTGTACTCCTTTTCCCTTAGCCTAGGTTTTGTCCCACTGGGTTTTCCTGGTAAGGTTTTTAACGAGACAGCAAATAAAGCATATTATAGATATGTGTACTCTTTTTCCTTCACTAAAATTTTTTTCCCACAGTGTTTTTTCTTAGTAAGGTTTTAACGAGGCATATTATCTATTTTTGGACATCCAAGGGGGAGTGTTATAAAATCTTTAGTAAATGTGGATGTCCACTACTCCCACTACTTTCACCCATGATGTAAATAACATCCCACTACTCATCACTATTATGATTGTAACTCCCACACCTCCATAACCCCTCCCCATTATCTTCCCCCATGATCTCAATTGTTAATGTCATGTTTAAGACAATCATTTTGTAACATTCTATGTAATAGTATAAATAGAGGCATGAAATGTGATATGGGATACACTTGAACACTTGATGAAATAAGAAAGTTATCTCTTCTTCTCTTATTTTATTTATCTTTTTGTTTTATATTGTTACTTTGAGCTACATTTCTTAATATTTCGGACAATGTTAGACTCGAATGTTCTATGTTTTATATATTGCTCAATCTTGCGGACTCATCTAATATTTGCAATATTTATAATATTTCGACCGTAGTCTGACGTTTCTCATTAGATATTCAGTATTCTCAAAAACAACTTTAGACCATGGTGTAAATGGCCTACAAGTTTCAAGAGAAATTAAAAGGGGGTCAGTTGTAAAGGGATTTTACGTACCTATACACTATTAGAAATTTTATTATTCTCCCTACTCAAGTTTCAATTTAATTACATCCTGTATACAAATTTACCAATTATATACACTTTAGGAATTAAATGAGTATCCCTTTATATTATGAATCAATTATTTGGCATCCTTATTCTCTCTCCCTCCCGCTCTCTCTCTCTCTCTCTCTCTCTCTCTCTCTCTCTCTCTCTCTCTCTCTCTCTCTCTCTCCTACGCTCTCTCTCTACGTCTCTCTCTATCTCTCAATCCCTAATTCTAGTAATGTCGAGTAAAGTAAAAGAGAGTAGCAATTCCATCATTGACAACCATTAAAAAGCTTTGAAGCTTTGAATTCGAATTTGGGTTTTCAAAAAATATTATTTGTTTGAATTGGATGTTATTGCAAACAATTGGGAATTCTCTCTACGTCTCTCTATCTCTCAATACCTAACTCCAGTAATGTAAAGCAAAGGAAAAGTTGTATGAAATTTAGTTTTACTATGTATAAATTAGATACAAAATATACAAAAGACATATTGTATAAAATTTGTATGTAAGTTGTAT